TCGAGCATCATGACCAAGTTATGCTTGGATGTTCGATTCATAACGGCTTCACATGCTAAGTCGAGATTTAGCTTGTCTTCCTTTTTGCGAGATGTGCTCATTTATGTTTCGGAGACATCAGTTTGACTCATTGCCCCGCTTCTTCTTCTCCAGCTTCTCAACCCGCTTCTACAGGGTTTTCACCGCCCTGGAGGACCACATGGAGCTTTTGGAGTTCAGGGCCAGCAGGCTCTCGCCGTGCAGAGCGCCTTGCCCAGTTTCCCGGCCGCCAAGACGTCCTAGGCCACCGAAGCCGATTTAGTTCTTGGGGCCGTCGATGCGGTCATACTGCGTCTCCACGGCGTCGAAGAGCTGCTGCATGTGCTTTTGTGGGATCGCCCGGACCTTTTTCCTTGAGCTTGCTTTCCAAAGCGTCCAAATGGCCGTAGCCAAAGATCAACCTTGCCGTTGAACGAGCCGCCCGTGTTCGGCTCGATGGCCATGTTGGCCAGGCCGCCGCTGGTGTTGTTCATGGAGATGAACTGAAACAGGTTGTTGGCGTCCAGCAGCAGCAACGCTTTTGTCGTGGCTGCGGCGTTGCAAATTACCATCCCGACTGTGCTGTTGGTAGGCCCCACGGCGATCTGCTTTAAGAGAGGACTCAGCACCTGCACTCCGCTGCTGCCCCCCCGGCAAACTCAGGAAGGGGAGGCGCTAGGACTCCGTTCACCCTCAAGGTGTCACGCCCGGCGTGCCTCCCTGGATCGTGAGCAGCGCGCCGGGTCGCAGTGCACGAACAGGGCCTGCGCTCGCTCTCAATTTGGGAACCGAGGAGCTGCTGGCGAAGGCCCCGGTACCTGCCGTTGACCCAACAAAGACTTGGGCGACGTCGGGTTACGATGATGTCTTGCTCCAGCCCGATGTTGCCGACCCCGGGGCTGTTCTCGAGGTCCGTGACCTTGCTTCGATCAGTGGTCGCGACTGAGCTGGAGTGTGGTGCCGTTCCCGAGGATGGGTTGGGCGGAGAGCAGGGCTTGCGGCTGATGGTCACGAAGTACTGGGCGCTCAGGGGTTCCAGGTCGTTGGTGCACATTTCAGCGGAGTTACAGCATGGACTGGTTGTTGAGGATTGCGTCGCCCGTCAAGCAGCGTCTCCACAAACAGGTTCCGGATGTTCCTGCAGCAGGTTGAAGATCTGCCCGCTCTCCGTCCCGGACGCCCGGACGAAGTAGTGGAGGTCGGCGTCCCTTTGCGTCTGGGAGCCGACGTAGGCCTCCGTCTGAGCCTGGTCGTAGCTCGAAAAGTCGACGGAGCCCAGGGCGTCGGCGATCGCCTGGTCCGTTTCGGTCCGGTCTAGACGAGCGAAGCCGTGATGATTTTGTTGTCCACGATCGCGGAGCTGCTGGCTCGCCGGCCGCGAACTCGAGACCTCCGTTTGGTCCCAGTAGGGCAGCAGCGCGTTGGCGATGAGGGCCAGCAGCCAGCGATTCGTTCTGAGCTCCGGTTTCGACCTGGGTGTAGGTCTGGCTGCGGATTCGATGAGATAGCATCGTCCAGATTCTGGAAACTCGCGCTGGCAGCCCGGTCGCGCTGGGGGCCCGGTCACGGAGAGGTTCCGGAGCTCGAAGGAGATTGAAGATCGGGCAGCCGCCCAGAGCTTTATTAGCAGGGCCACGACTCCCTTTCCCGCTTCTGCACGCTGCACGCTTCCGCCACTCCCGCCTCTGCCTCGGCCGAGGCTTCGAAGCCCTCCGCCGCCTTGCTTCCGCGACCTGCGGAAGCGAACTGCTCGATGTCTTGTGCCGCCTGCCGCTCCACCTCCGCCGCCTGCTGCTATAGTGTGAGGCCTTTGCGACAGCAGCGCAGCATGACGTAATAGTGTTCCACATTTGAGCTCAACTAGCATCGTTGAAGGTCTCAGTGTTTGGCATTCGTGTTTGGACGTTCTCGGCCTCGGTTCAGCAGACGTTCACTGTTGCATGTGGGTGAAGAATATTCAAGACAAGCGAAGAGAACGTGCGGCGGAGACAAAAACTAACAGCAGTGCCTATACTGGTCAACATCCGTTTCACTGAGGCATCCTCCTTGTGTCGAAAAGGACAAATGCCAAACAAACAGTTTGAAGATGTGTGAACAAAACGCGCAACTTTAAGTATGCTTTTTCGACACGGTGCTTTTGCACAAAGTCTCTCACCCCGTTGCTTTGCAAGGTTTTGGGCAAAATTTTGGAGCGGGCTGTGGTGGATGTCAGCAGAACTTGACGCGTGCATGCCCTTGCTCAGAAGGTAGCATTGCTTAACGGGAACTTGTAATGAATCCTACCATAACCTCGAAGAAAGTGTGATGTGTTGCTCTTCTCATGCAATGACGTTACGGCGTGGCCTTTGTGATCGGTTACCCACAATGAGACATGCCCACAGGAAGCCATGGTTTCCCTTGCTGCTCGCGGTAGCTTCTCACTTTTGCTTCATCCAGACGTTTCGCCACCGCACTTTCGATAAAAGAGCTTGCTTTATTTCATTTATTTTCGATGTTTTGCCTGTGACTTGTGCACCATGTCAAGGTACACATTCGAACATTCCCTTATGGAGTTCTGGCAAAGGTCATGATGGAAGACCGATGCTACTTCCTCCATTTCGGTTCCACAGATTGGCAAGCGAGGCTGCTAGCGAAGAAGGTCTGCAAGTCGGGCAGTATTTAAGCCGTGTGCTACACAAGCAGCAGAAATTCATGAAAACCAACAAAGTGATTGACAGGGGCGCTTTTTTGGAGTTATTCCGGAGGTGATGCGCTCACAGCAATTTTCCCTCGTACTTGGGGGGAAGAATCTCGGCAAGACACTGATGCGCGTCCAAACTGTGGACAATATTGAGAACGAGGCCAATGCAAACCTTACGGTCATTGATGTGAATATGAGGGAGCAACCAAGCAACGAGCTCTTCAAGGCTATCTTGGGCCGGGTAGAATCCAAAAGCTCTTCCCTCACGGCTATTCTGCAGCAGGTGGCTTCAACCATTTCCGGCCTCACAAGTGCGATAGCAGTTGGCACGAATTCGGGGCTTGTAGCGCCTGCCGCTGCAACACCCATGGCTGCTGGAGTAAAAGCACTCGTCGACATAATGTCATCCAATCAGAGGGAGCAGACCCTGTTGCAGCTTGTAACGACGTTCCGCCAGAAGGGGAATGACACATGCATCCTCGTGGATGAAGCCAACTTAGCATTGCCGGCAGGTGAGAGCCGTGAAGACCAGCAGAAGGCGAGGCAAGCATTGCAATACTTCGTGATGTTGACCAAGGAGCGAGGACAAGCAGGTGTGGTGCTCATCACTTCAGAGCTGGGGTATCCTTACCGGCTTCAAGACTGTGGCATGAACTTGAAAGACATAACCAACATCATCATCGCAAACGAAGTGCCCGAAGAGGACATGCTGCGGCTCATGACGGGCACATGGGGCATGAGTCAAGACCTTGCCCAGGAGTTCTTCAGCTACTTCGGTGGAAACATCTTCGTTTGCTGCGAAGCGGTCGAGCAGTTGGCAACCAAAGGCAGTGGTTTTGATCCATTTTGCATTGTAGACTGCCCGGGCTTGCCAGCTTGCGCTGCTGACGCTGACGCTCCCAAGTGGGCGGGTTGGCGCCCCAGGCCTGCGCGTTGGAGAGGGCGATGGCGATGGCTGCGTCCGTCTGGGCGGCGGTATACTAGGGGGCTAAGATCGATGCCGGCCACCGCGGCGGCGATGGCGGCGTCCATCTGCGCGGTGGTGCTATAGTCAGGGCGGCCGCGATCAGCCCGTTGACCTTTGCGGTGTTGCTGAAGGGTGCCAGGGCGGCCGCAATGGCAGCATCTCGCTGCACGCCGCTTGCAGAGCCGCCATGGAGGCTTCGGCAGCATCGAGCCTGCCGTCGCGAAGGGCCAGGGCGGCGTCCAGGGCCACTTGCGTGACATAGGTCAGGAGGGCTGTGGCCACTTTCTGGTTGACGTCCGCGGGGGAGGTGCGCAAGCCCACGGCCGCATTCAAATCAGTCGTGCTTGGCCTGTCCAGCAGCGCCGTGGCAATGCGCTGGTCCACATCGGCCCCGGACTGCTTGGCTGCCAGATCTAGAGCCAGCTGGTCTGTTACCGTTCGAAGGACATAGGTCCCCACGGCGGCCAGCGTGGCGTTGTTGGCGTTTGCAATGGCTGAATTCATCGCAGCCGTAGTGCTGTAGCTCGCCAGCTTGGCGTCGACGCTTGCTGGGGTGCTCTTGCCTTGGACCTCGAGCTGCAGGGCGTCCAGCGCGGATTGGTTCGCCTTCGCGGCCAGGCCTGCCGTCAGACTGGTGTTGAAGGCAGTAATGCTGGATGACAAACGACCCTTCAAAGCGCAAGTGTTGATCTAAGTCTGCAAAACAGGCTTCGCCAGTGTTGGAACGAAGCTTTCCATGAATAGACCTCAAATCGATTGGGTAGGCTCTGCGTCTTTGCGCTAACAAACACATCTGTCGCAACAGCTTTCCGTCACGGTCGGCTGTTGCATAAAATGGGTGCAGACGTGGGTTCACGTTGCGACTTCTTCGGATTATTTTTCAGCACACCTGCATGCTTCATCCTGTTACAGTTCATGTGATTCATATCAGATCTCTTGTCCGAGCGCTGTTTAGATTGCGGTCAATGAGATTTGCACAACGATGTGCTGAATGCAGCCCTTTAAGAAGATTCAGAATTGAGTTGGAGTGGGGGTCGCAGGAGCAACATGCAAACTTGTGAAAACAGGGCACGTCACGGCAAGTTCACGGAAAGGTTTGCACGCAGAGCCGTCCATTTTGATGCCATGGTGGGTCGACGAGTCGATCAATCACGCCTCGGTGTCGCTGCAGTTGCCCTTGTGATGGTCGTGCTGTGCTTTTGGCATCCGGCAACGAATGGGCATCAAACTTTCGCAATTCCAGGTGCTAAAAAGGCCAGCAGAACAAAACTGGGCAAGCGCAAACTTCCTCAAATAGATCCAGCAGACTCCGCCACAGATGTGTTCATCCCGTTGGAGGGAACCCTTCAAAGTCTGGAGAACATGTTGCAAAACAGAAGGGTGGTTTTCTTGCGAGCTGCTGTGGCAAGCGGCAAGTCTACGTTGGCACAGTATCTTTGTACGCAGCAACCCTCCAAGTATTTGCAAGTCCATGCCCCCTTGCATACGGATCTAACCTTTGAAAATTGGGTGACGGCGTTCAAAAAAGCCGTGGAGAAACCTTCTATTCAACATGACTCAGCGGACATCGCGGAGGCGATCAAAAGCATATACGACAAGGACCAAGTGCTTGTTTTTGATGAGTGCCATTTGCGTTTTGCTTGCCCGAGGTTCTGCGAGATGCTAACCAAAACGCCCAGTTATCTGAATCGGCGCCCGATGGTATTGCTGTTGTCTGCAGCATCAGAAGCAGAACCTTTGCAGGGACAAATTCGTTTAACGCCGTCCGAAATTACTGACAAGTTCATGTGGACGCCCCCAGTGCCAAGTCCCAGCGTGCTTGCCGACCAACTTGCTGCGGCTAGCGTTGGTTTGAGTGAGGATGCCATCAAGTTTTTCTTTCAAATATGTGCAGGCCACCGAGGTATTTTTATGAGAGCCATGGCATGGGTACAGGACAAGCAGAAGAAACACAGGGGGCAGGGAGGCAGACTTGTGCAGTGGACAGTCGAACAAGCCTACGGCGAAGTCAAGCTGGCATGGGCAGATGAAGATTGGACCATCCCGAACAGCTTTCTGGGATGGCTGGCAGCGGCTCGTGCAATCCGCGTCAACGGACATTATGCAAATCTAGTCAATATCCCCCAACAGCTCATCGAGATCCTATGCAGTGGGGCTACTAGCAATTTAGATTCAGAACTGCGTCGCAATCTCACAGTCCATGGTTTCCTATTGCCAGTTGTTGAAGGCAATGCCGACGAGTTCGTGCCATATGATTGGAGTGCGGTGGGGGCCAGATATGGTGGTTCCACTCACTTGTTGGCTTCTTATTATCGCTGCGTGTTGAAGAAGACGCGAAACCTGGAAGTGGATGTAAGCATGGAGGTGTCGTCAGGCACCGATCTGCTGCTGAGAGCTCTGCCATACCTGCATTTTGCAAAGGTGGTTGGCGGTGTCATCCTTCAAGATGCGCATGTGCAGAAGATTTTTGCGAAGCAAGGGGCTCCTTCTGAAGTTCACTACACCACTGCCATCAATCAGATACTGGAGCGCTTGGGTTTTTCAGCAGGGTCTGTAGAGGATGGGAAAAAAGGGAAGGTCGATGTTTATGTCGTGCTGGAGGACCGCGCAACGATTGCGTTGGAAGCGGTCATGGTTTCTCGTTCTCTGAAAGACGTTGAGAGCCATCGCTTGCGTTTTGACAACCCATCCTTACAGAATTATCACCATGCCACTCGAAAGTGCCTGGTGATTCTTGGCGATTGGGGAAACAGACTTAAAGTCAGAGAACGAGTGGAGCAGACACGAGGCGGTATTGAGATTGTTGGCCTTGCAGCTAATGTAGCCCACACAGGCTACAACGTTTACGTCAAGCGCCAAATTGACAACAATATTGACACAGTTGTGGATTTCTACATCCCGTGTGATGGAGTTGCAAGGAGCTTTGCCTTTAAGGATGAAGAGCCCTTCTTTGAGATCAGTTCCGTGCAGAAGCTGAAGTCCATCAATCCAGGCCACATCATGACGAAAATGTGCAAACTCGACTTTGATGTCTGTTCTTGAAGATGTCATGGCGCTTAAGCAGTGCTTTGTGTCAGCAGTCAACTGGAAAGCCTGAAAGCACCTGTCCACGTACTGGTTTGTCCATTGATGCCTCATTGCCCTGACCCGGATATCATACATGATAGTGGCAAAATCCGCTTCTTGATGCGATGCAGATTCACATGCGATGTGTGCTTCTTCGGACCCCTTTTCTCTTGTTTGATCTGCAATTGTCGGCTTGCGTTGTGCCTGTTATAGCACCCTGTGAGGCCCATNNATCTGCCGGATCTGCAGGCGCAAGAGTTGCAGGGTTTGAGACCGTTGCTCCAGGTGCTAAGACATGTGACTGGCTGATTCGAGATTGCCAGCCTTTGATGTCGTGCGAGGCTTTGCAGGCACGACCTCAACGTCATCCGTCGTCTGGGTGCGGGAGCTGATCCGCAAGGACTGTGCTGTGTGAGAGCCAATGCCGGT